CTATAGATAGTCAAAGTGCTGTAAATTTTAAAATAATAGAGTATTTATGTATAATTAGAACTATAACAAAATAATCTCTACTATAATCTGTAGGGGGAAGGTTTTCTAGGAAAGTATGTCATATGTGAAAATTAACATACTGTTAATTTTAAAATGCTTTTTATATGTAATTAAATTAACAGTTATTTTGTTTTTTGAAATCAAAGAGTGATTTCTCTTAAAGACATTAATTATATTAAACTAAACAAATAAAACCAAAAAATTGTTTGTTTATTTTGATTTAGATCATGTACTCATTTACTAGTCTCAGAATTACAGTGAGCACATAAGCAATCATATATATAGAAAATTTTTCTGTGAAATTAAACTTCTCATACATATTTAATTTTAATTATACAAGCATATCTACATCAAAAACAGATAAACTAACTAATCTGTAAATTTTTTAAACATGCATTTGGAAAACCTACTTTATAATATAACAAACTTTTTGGCTTTAATGGATACCCTCTCACCTGAATTAGTCCATTAAATTGAGATTTTACTGCAATATGTTCATAATGAAACCAAATATTTTGTTTAATGGACAGGAAATCTGCTGCTGATTATTTGATACAATTTTTCTATCCAAAGTTCATAATTAGTGGTCTTTAAGACTTTTAACAGCAGACTTTTAAGACTTTTCCAAATAATTTTCCAAAACAACAGTTAATTCTGGAAATTCGAATTCATATAGGAAATTCCATAGTGCCTGAAGAAGAACCACATTAGGTTCGAAAACGTTTGCAAAGTCCTCTATATTGGAGAAGAAGAATGCCGGTTACAGGCAGTGAAGTTGGGTAATTTAACAGCAGTTTTAGTATCTTTCCACACTAGATATAAAAAAATATTTGATAAATTTTAAAACTGCAAAATTTGTAACATTTAATACAGATATCTCGAAAACAATGAACCTTGGGTCATAAGTTTGTCCTCTCTGCTTTAGATAATCAATAACAAATAAAACAGCTAATCTACACATAAAACACTGAATCAGCTTAGTGATGTTTTTGGAAGCTATTTGGAAGATATTTAAACAACAGTATATTCCATTTACAAACAGAAGTGAGTAGGTCTGTCTATATCTCACCCAATAACAAGAAGACACTCCATTACATTTTAAGTTCTCTTAAAGAGAGAACTTAACACATAAAAGTAAAATTATTTTAGAACCATTTTTTGATATGAAAAATTGTCATAATATGCAAAAGTCTATAATCCTTACCATAGGCATCTGCAGAGTGGGCAAATGGGGCACCCTTTGCCTCCTCTGTAGATGCCTATGGTAAGGATTATAGACTTGACTTTCCCTGGAATCAAGTAAAATAAAAAATTCCCCAAATTATAGTTGTAAAAGTGATTAAGATGTATACTTACACTCTCAACTATGGAATGATTTATTTATCTTACAAAACCCCAACAATTAAATAATTAAATAAAAATTTATTGATATAATTATCTATTTCCAAGCTTAGCCCTTGCCCTGGAAAATTTTCTGCAGATGCCCAAGATCCATACCATCAAAGTCAGATAGTTTTTTAAGATAACCTGTGAATTACAGGTAAAAATTACAAGAAGAAAAACACATGTTTTCTT